GTTTGCTTACAACATAACATGTCAAGTCCTCATGACAAGGATCTGCGGCAGCTGCTGTGGTCCGTAATGCAAGGTCTAGCAAGGACTACATTTTTTAAAGTATACCCCCAGAGATGTTAGAAATTAATAGCATTGACGATATTTTCTTATCAGGTTATGTTTCATTTTAGAGGAATGATAAAGAAGAAATGTACTTGGCAAGATTCGAAGGATAAGTAGAAACCTGTAGCTTCTCCACTGAAATCTCATCAAGTTTTTTCATGAGCTCTTCCCGAGCTATATCCATGAAATGAACTAAGAAATCACCCTGTATTAAAAAAAGTTACTGCATCATAAATGTCTGGAACAACAAAAGAATAAAATGAAAACAGTAACGGGACGTGGATTAAACTGAAAGCTATACTAGATAAAACACCCATTTAGACAGTGTCAGCTGTCCCAGTATGTGCCTGTTAACTAAAAAGACTGGTACAAGCTGTACCCAAAATTTTTCTACCCCTTTTCAACTTCACCTGATATACGCACATATACCATCCTACTTTTTTGTGAAGAGGTACAAACACAACTGGATTCACCCAATTTTTCTATTTGGAAGCTTAAAATATATAAATGAGTTGGAGAGACCCTTGGGCAGCAATTCCCCATGATCTTTGCCATTGCTAGCCACAAGGAAGCCACAATTAAGGATTTTTTTTTAGGATCACTGGCAAATGGTGTGTGGAAAGTTGATCTAACCAGAAATCTTAATGATTTGGAGATTAATGAGTTTAATCTCTGTCCATGTGCGTTCTCAATGAGAAAGAAGATGAACCGATTTGATGTCTAAACTTAAAGGGGATGTTCTTTCTGAAATCTTTCAACTTTCACTTGGCTAGGAGTATAAGACAGATTTGGAAGATAAATGCATCATCAAGAATAGCTTTTTTTGCATGGGAAGCAGCAAGAAAGTGCACCTTAACCCTGGATAAACTGATGAGGGGAATAGTCTTGCTAAACGGGTGTTACTTGTGTAAGGAGATGCAGAATCCTACAATCACATTCTAATACAGTGCCCGTTCCCATATCGGATTTGGATTCAAGGACATGATCTTTTGGGGTTCAGTTGGGTGATAGAAGGCTCACTGGAGAAGTAATCTAGCTGGAAACGGGAAACTGACCTTTCGAGTATGGGAAGAAGGAGAACAACCAGGTAATGTCATAGCTCCTCACCACCATGATGAATGAAACAATAGCAGAAGAATGGGAAGCCATAAAGGAGGCAATTCATACGTCGAAGACACATCCGAACTATTTGACATCAAATGTCTTCTTCATGATCAGCGGCAAGGAGAACTTACCATCACTGGATAGACATTGACAGCAGTTTGATATGTTTGAAGAACATGCACAGAGTCCAGATGATGCTTTATACCATAAGAAACTTGAGCAGAAGCAATTATACAATTGCTTTATAGGTCTCAGCAAAAACCTAGATAAGTACGTGAAAGAATCCTTTCAAAAATACCAACTCCTAGTCTTCGAGAAGAGTTTTGTGAAGTGAGATGTGAGAAGAATTGCAAGAAAGTGATTATAAGAAAGCAAGATCCATCCAACAATCCCAAAGCATCTACCTTGATTGCTCTGGGAAGACAGTCCTCATCCAACACCAGAAAACAAAAGAGACCTTAATGGGATCACTACCATAAACTTGGTCAAATGAAGGACAGTTGATGGGACTAATATGACAGACCTCGTAATCGAAGAGATAACAGACTAAATTCAGAAATTTCAGAAGAAAATCCTGACACCATTTGAACCTCTCTCTTCAACAAAGAACAACTGGAATTACTCCAAACATAGTTCGTTCAGAAGAAAAACAATTCCTCCTTGTCCTCCATTACGGCCAGAAGATTCGTGGCACATAAAGGTTATATCCTGCACAATATCACTGCTGGAATAAAAAATTCTCATGTCTGGATAGTGGACTCCAGAGCATCTAATCATATGACAGGAGATTCACAGTTATTTATTGAAACTAATCTGTGAACCGAGAACTGACATGTTTGGGTTATTGATGGAACACAATCTCAAGTAGTGGAAATTGGAACAGTAAAATTAACAAGGACTTAATAGTGAAATTAACAAATTTCGTGGCACATAAAGGTTATATCCTGCAAAATATCAATGCTGGAATAAAAAATTCTCATGTCTGATAGTGGACTCAAGAACATCTAATCATATGACAGGAGATTCACAGTTATTTATTGAAATTAATCCATGCAACGAGAAGTGACACGTTTGGGTTGCTGATGGAACACAATCTCAAGTGGTGGAATTGGAACAGTGAAATTAACAAGGACTTGAGGATTTAATATTTGTTGTTTGTTCCAAATTTAGATTGTAATCTACTATCTATCAATAAAATTACTCATGACTCTAATCGTTTCATTGAATTTTAAAAAAATTTGCGTGAATTTAGATATAAAAATATGGGGAGCAAGACTAATAGTACTAAGGAATGCTCGGGGTTGTACCTACTTGCTGGCAATAACACTCCAAGTGGACAAGCTCTAAATTCTCAGAGTTCATCTTTCTATGTTTCTATTTCCAATAATGATGCCATGTTGTGACACTTTTGATTAGGTCATCCTAACTTTGTATATCTTGAAAATTTGTTTACTTTAGTATTCAAAAATAAAAATCCAAATTTATTTAAATGTAGTGTACCATTTTTCAAAACATACTCACAGTACATCCAGAATCAATCGTATAAACCCTCTCATTCGCTTGCACTAATTCATAATGGTATGTGGGGGCCTTCTCAGGTAAATCACATTACAAGGTCATGTTGGTTTATATCTTTTATTGACGATCATACTCAACCGACATGGATATTTCTCTTAAAAGAAACTTGAGGTGGATCGCATCTTCAAAAACTTCAACACAATGGCAATTTCAAACAAAAATTCAAATCATCAGAATAGGTAATGTGGTTAGATATTTCTCCTAAAAGAAATCTAAGATGGGTCGAATCTTAAAAAACTTCAACACTATGCCAATTTCGAACCAAAGTTGAAATCATCAAAATAGGTAATTCAGAGAATATATTAAGTATATTCTCGGAGATTGGACAAGGGACCATTCATTAGAGCTCTTGGCGTTGACACCTCACAACAAAATGATATTATAAAATGGAAAACAAACACCTTGAAGCTGTCTGATCCCTGATGTTCTCAACCAATGTCTCAAAACAATTCTGGGGGAATCCATTCTCACTACTATATTTCTAACAAACCTAATATCATTTCCTGTCCTCACATTCCAAGCACCATGCCAAGTTCTCTTGAAACATTATCTTCCTCTCAGCTTTTATCCACAACTCCACTTAAAATATTTGGGTGTTCCATATTTGTTCGTAGTCATTCCCATCTAACAAGATAATTTTTTTCCCAAATTGAAATTCCACATAATCAAATTTTTATGACATGGCATACATGTGGGAATTCTGTGGCCTACAAATTAGACCTGCTTTAAGCTTCGCTCGTTCATTAAGTATTCCATGTCTCTTGTCTCAAGATTTTCATGGTGATGAATCCTTTCAACCAACATTGCCTGTAATGCAGAATGGAGAACTCAATCAGCAACCGCAGCGAGTACAGGATCATTGTTTTCGAGCTGGCAGAAAGGAGATCCTCGCTCACTGAGAAGGTCTTTCTCCAGCCAATTGACTCTTGAGAAGATGCAGCTAAAACGACAATCCATTAGCCTACTCTGGCATTTGTAGACAAGCACCATATCGTGGGAGGGAGTAATTTCATGTTCAAAAACTTAACGAAGACCAATTTACTGCCAAAGTCCATGTATGGGGTCTCACGATTCCGAGAAGCTGCAACTGGCGTCAACCACTTAAAAGGATTTGGGATCACTTTCTTAATCATTTCTTAGGCCATCTAGTTTGCTCAGATGTTCTAATTCATCTCAACCACCCTATTTACCTTAGAAGTTTGGTTTAGGAAAAATTATCCAAGGATTAGTATTCCTAGACTGTAGGGTCGTCGACGATACTGCTTTGCCCGTGTATTATGCTTGAAACAGTAAATAAAAACATTAGAACTCTTTCATATATGATTATAGAGCGCCTAATTCTAAAGATCGAAGGGTTCTCTCTCAAGAGCCCTGGTCCCTAAATAATCATAGGTCATAAAAGAAGGAAAGCCTCAAAACAAGCTGCACTTTTTTTTTTGAAATACCTAAACAAGCTGCACTTGATCCCTAAATACCCCACTTACTTGATCGAAAACCTAGGACTGTATCACAATAATAAGGTGCAGAATGCCAATCTTCCAAAGAAGTAATGATGTTTGAGAGCTTTTCTTGAAAAACTATATCATTCTTCTTACAAGACACAACTCAGAAAAATAATAAAACAATAAATATACCTGATCTAGAAGCAGATAATGCTTTATTGACCACAACTTTCCAATCAGATCATACTGCATGATAAATTAATTATCAGTAATTGGCACTAAGCTGATGCATTTTTCATCACTGACCACTGCATTAGCAAATGATAATAAACCTAAGATTAGCAGCTCAGAAGTCAATTATTTGATGTAAGGTTCACCTTTTCTTTAATGAGATTTAAGAGTTCACCACTGGAAAATTCATGAGCAGCCTTGATACACTCCAGATAATGATGGTTTGAGCCAAAGATTCTTAATTTAGAATTTTCTGACACAGGTACCTGTCAATAACAAAACAGCCAATGCAGCACACTATTACATGGAGGACAAATTAGTTTCGTCACTCTTCCCTAAATCAAATACAACAAACCATATAGCCAAGGAGCCAAGGCCTTAATGATAATGAAACCTGAACATTGTGTCCACATTCTCTCATGACATTCAAACATTTTCCTGTAGTCAATATCGTTCCAGCAAGATTTGCCAGGAAGCTAGGAATGCCATCCTTGAGGCTGTATCGTTGCTTCCAATACTTGGCATCATAATCCTGAGTGAGGCTCTCCTATACAGAAAACTAAATCTTGAGCATCTAAAGGTCGAACTTGATGTGCTCATTAACATGAATGGAGTCAAAATACCTTTTGAAGGAACTTGTTCTCGGCAATAAAAAATTCACCATAAGGATCATCTATAACTCCTTCATAGACCCACCTAAAATTTGTGTTCCATTTGGGTGAGAAGACTTGATAGACAGAATTAATCATATGAATAACAGGAGTTCTCAAAAGAATCTGAGATGGTATCACAAATAAATATGTAGTAAAAGAGTTCAACATAAACAAGTTAAAAGTAAATTCAATTCAGTGTTTTAAGTCTGAGTTTGGATCCATTAAGCATGAAGTCAACCAAGGCCCAATAGACAAACAAGGAGCCAATATAAAATAATGAAATAACAAAACAACGTGTTTCACATATGTTACTTCTTATCTTTAAAGATTCGAACTACCTGAAACAGTTTTCTTCTTGAAATCAAGATTCCTAGAATGTAATGGCTCCGCAGTGTGGTGCTCTACTTACTGGGTGATGGGTATTATGGCCAGATTGCAAGCTGGAATCTTGAATAAACACACCCAATTTTCTTGCTCATTTGTCAAAGAGGTGGTGCTTTTGGCTTCTTTAAAGGCCAAGGCATGAGGTATTCCAGGAATATTCCTTTACCAAGTTTTCATAGAATTTTTTTTTTTAAATAACCAAATTTCAAAGGAATTAGGAGGTTATTCCATGCTAAAGCCTTTCTGTTCTCTTTTCTTGTATCCTAGTTTAATTTTTTGTTTTTGTACAAGGATGCATTATCCTCACTCTTTTTGTAATTTCTTCGCCTTTAATTAATAAATTAAATTAGTGTGCACTAGAGGGTGCAACCCCTGTACAGAGCTTTACAAAATTTTTCATTCATAATAATGTTTCTTTTGTACTTAAAAAATAAAAAAGGTGACAGCAACATTCATTCAAGAAACACTATGCATCATTTTAATTTATCCGTGATTTCTTCATAAGGTAATGACTACTTGGATGATGCAAAAGTTACATTGCCAAAGTGCAGCATTATATTGCTGAGGCCTAGTGCAGGAAAAGGTATAGAAAGCTCACAAAGAGATTCAAATGTTTGTTATTGATGTCATCTTACTTTCTGCCACTTTTTCAAGCATTTCTTTCTAATTATATGCACATATCTTACAACAAAAAACCACAATTAATTAAGATGTGGTAACATCACATCATCATATTAACAAAGCCTACTCCAAAACAATGTTCCATAAGGCCATCCCTAGAAAAAATAAAAATAACATCCAATTTGTACTCTCTTTGATGTGGTAGAAATGAATAAGAATAGAGCAAAAGAAAAAAAATTAAAAAATTAATTCACCCCACAATCACATGGAATGGTAGCAACCACAATCACAGAGTAGTCACAACCATACAGAATTAGACACTCGAATAAATTAAAAGAAGAAATCCATATGCTTTATTCACAAACAGTCCTAGAAAATGTTGAATCACCCATGGACTTATAGAGTGTCCAAATAACTAATATCATTACTGGCAGCCAAAAGTTTTTTGTCTAATCTCTTCCAAGTGGGGGATCCTTATTCAAGGAGTTCAAATTAATTATTATATTATTGTCCATGATCTGAATGAAATCATTGCTCACTGCAAAATCAAGAGATCCATCAGTAAGTGACTTATCAATTTGTTCAGTAGGAATAACAACATCCTCTGTAAATCTCCTCAGTTACTTAATCTGCTAACTTGCTCTCATTAGTTGAACGGTGAACACTAATGGCATCTTCTAGCTCTATAAGAAGATATGGCCCTGAAAAATGTAATCCCAACATCAGTCTAGTCATGCAAGAGGATGCCGTAAGTCCAAATATTTAATACCTATATCAAGAATAGTTTAAGCTTAGTGCAACAACTTTCAAGGACTCTCCCTATTAACCATGAGCAACTAGTGTTGTTATCCCTTCGAACACTATGTAGGAGTGGAGAAATCAACTCTAGCAAGACGCAATCACTTTCTTAGGAAAGAGTGATCAAAATTATCCCATACATGAGGAGATAATTTATCCATTGAGGTTCCATAGACGTCAAGAAATGTTCGAATATTTCAACAATTAATGCTTCACGGTTAAGATCAACATCACCTAACATAAATCTAAGCCTGCAAGCCTTTTGAGAATTAAGATATCCTTGACATGTGATTGCCTTGTGATGTCAACTAATATTTTAAATGTAAAAACAATCGACTGAAAAACCTTCTTCATCCATGAATTACTGTAAAGACTATTTGGTATAGTTATTCAAGTAACCAGCAAATGCAATAAGCAACTTCAATTTCACATCATCATTTTAAAGTTGAGAAGGTGATCATAACTAATGCCTTTTATAATTTGTATTGTCTTAGATGGCTCTTGACATTCCATTGATAAACAATATTTAGCTTGGTCAAAACCAACTCAACTGAGACATAATCACTTTCTTGTAAAAGAGTGGTCATAGTTGCCTTCATGTAAAGGATATCCTTCCATTGAGGTTGCATCTACTTCAAGAAGTGTTTGCGATTTCTACAGCCAGTTTTTCACAATCAAGATCCAATATTACTAGATATAATCAAAATCTTGCGATTTTTTCAAGAGTTAAGATCTCCATGACATGCGATTGCTTCGAACTATAAGCTACCATTTTAAATGTAAAAACAATCAACTTGAAAACCTTCATCTGTCAATCACCATAACAAATATTTGGTACAGTTATCCTAGTTACACAAATAGATGCAATAAGCAATCAATGCCTTTTTTTACAACTTGAGACGCTGATCAACATCCAATGACTTATAATAATGGCCAATTGCATCTGCCATTGGCTAAGATGGCCCTTGATTATCTTTGGTAAACAATATTTAGCTTGCTCAAGACGAAGAAATAGATTACTTGAATGAAGAGGACCCATAAGCATATGACAAATGTCCTTAAGCCACTGTTTGAGTATGTTTGTTCACGACGCCATGATATTGCTAGCAGTATAGTCATTCTCTCCTCTATCAAGCCAA